GCATAGTATTCCATGGTGTATATGTGCCACATTTTCCTTGTCCAGTCTATCATCGATAGGCATTTGGGTTGGTTCCATGTCTTTGCTATTGTAAACAGTGCTGCAATGAACATACGTGTGCATGTGTCTTTATAATACAATTATCTAGTAATTGTATTGTTAGATCATAGGGTAATTGTTTAAAATTTTTTAGGAAACATTATACTCTTTTCCATAGGGGCTGCATAATTTTATAGTCCTGCCAACAGTACACAAGGGTTCAAGTTTTTCCAAATCTTGATAATATGTGTCATTTTCTGGAGGTTTTTTTTTTAAGTAATAGCAATTCTAATGGGTGTAAAGTAGTAGCTCATTGTAGTTTTCTTAAGAGTTTTGAAGTTTTCTGTACAGATGCCAAAATACTAAGTAACCTTGGATAACATCATCAAAAAACACTCATATTCTTTTTTAATTGATTTTTTTTTAATTGATTTTTTTAAGAGACAGGGTCTTGTTCTGTCACCCAGGGTGGAGTGTAGTGGTGTGATCATAACTCACTGTAGCCTCAAACTCCTGAGCTCAAGGGATCCTCTTGCCTCAGCCTATCAAGTAGCTGGTATCAGAGGCACATGCCACCATGCCTGGCTAATTTTTTTAAAAATTATTTTTCATAGAGACAGGGCCTTACTATGCTGCCCAGGCTGGTCTCAAACTCCTGGCCTCAAGCAGTCCTCCCACTGTAGCCTCCCAAAGTGTTGGGATTACAAGCATGAGCCACTGCACTCAGCCTCAACAAATGTTAACTGAGCTCCTAATAGGCACTGTGCTGGGTATTGGGGTTACAAGTCTCTTAAGAGCAAGGGAGAAAGATGGGCAATGAATAGTGACCAAGGTTCTGAGTATATATAAGGTACACTGAATTACTCCTTATCGAGGACCTGCTAATTTTCAAGACTCTCAGGTCCTTTTATGGCTCACGCCTGCAATCCCAGCATGTTGGGAGGCCGAGGTGGGAGAGTCACTTCAGGCCAGGACTTTGAGACCAGCTGTGGCAACATAATGGTACCCCATCTCTACCAATTTTTTTTTAATTAGCTATGTGTGGAGGTGTGCACCTGTAGTTCTAGGTACTTGAGAGGCTGAGGCAGGAGGATTGCCTGAGCCCAGGAATTTGAGGCTGCAGTGAGCCATGATCGTGCCACTGTACTCCAGCCTAGGTGACAAAGTGAGACCCTGTCTCAAAAAAGCAAAAACAAAAACTGATCACCTCCTTTTATAGAGAATCATAAAAGCAGTATGTAAACATTTATTTCCTATGTTCACACCCAATTATTCCAGAGTACAGCTGGGAGGTTTCCCATCCTCTCTTGGGAAGGAGGCTACATTCAAGAAATGAAGACTGGTGCAAGTTAGTAATTAGCTCTTATACCTATCACCCCGTATGGGTGCCTGCATTCACAAATGTGCTAGGTTTTGGGAAAACAAAGAAATATGAGTAAGGCACAGATCCTGCACTCCACAATCTCAAAGACAGTTACAACATAGTATAATAAGGGCTGGGCTGGGCCGGGCACTGTGGCTCACACCTGTAATCCCAGCACTTTAGGAGGCCAAGGTGGGCAGATCAACTGAGGTCAGGAGTTTGATGTCAGCCTGACAAACATGGCAAAACCCTGTCTCTACTTAAAATACAAAAGTTAGCTGGGCGTGGTGGTCGGCACCTGTAATCTCAGATACCTGGGGTCGGGGGGTGGGGGCGAGGCAGGAGAATCACTTGAACCCAGGAGGCAGAGGTTGTGGTGAACTGAGATCATGCCATTGCACTCCAGCCGGGGCAACAGCATGAGAATTTGCCTCAAAAAATATATACATACATATAAAACAAGGGCTGTAATAGAAGGTAAGTAGAGAGAAAGAAATAATATTTTCTCTAGTAGAGAAATCAAAGCCTTCTTTAAAAAAGTAAAGTCTAGATCTGGATCTTAAAGGATGACAGGAGTTCATCAGGTGGGAGCAGGAGGAAGGGACATTCTAGAGAGGGAGAAGCATAGAAAAAATGAAAGGGCAGAGCATGTTTATGAAATATTAAATGATTTAGTATGACTGGAACTTAGCATACATGATGGAGAGTGGTAAGAGGGGTAGACAGTAGCATGGTAAGGAGAGCTGGAAGATAGACTGTGGAAATCTATTTTTCTGAAGGTAACAGAGAATTAACTGATTTTAGGCAGGGGAGCAGCTTGATTAGTTGCTCCTCCCCACAACCCTAGGAAACTCAATGGGCTAGATGGAAGATGAACTGGAGTTATAGAGAACCAAGAAAAAGGTATGGGAGAAGGAGGTCAGGAACTAACCAAATAAGATCTCAAGGATCATGAAGATGACTTGCTGTGAATAATACCCAGAGCTTTTTATTTATCACAGAGACAGGGTCTCATTATACTGCCCAGGCTGCTCTCAAACTCCTGAATTCAAGTGACACTCCTGCCTCAGTCTCCCAAAGTGCTGGGATTATAGGCCTGAGCCCCCATGCCCAGCCATTCAAAGACCCTTGGAGTAGAGCACCAGAGATCAGGACCTCATGTATTTGACTTCTAAAACCAGAAATCTGATTTTCCTTAAGCAGGTATCATGGAACAGATACTTGAGGATTGATTCACAATACCAAATTCATAACAGATTGTGGTATAAAGGATAATTCTAATTAACTAACATATATTCATTCATTCATCAAATACTTATAAAGAATCTACTTTGTGCAAGCATTATTCTAAGGAACTAGGGACACAGCTGTGATTAACAATTTCCTGTCCCCACAGCTAGTCTCTGTGGAATATAACATAGAATATATGTTTCCAGTGAGTAAAATATTTGTTTGCTGTCCAGAGCATTCCCTTCCCAGCACAAAGGAACCAAGGATTTTGAGTCAGTAATCAAAATGTTATTTGGCGAATGATCAGAAAAAAAGAGATGGTATTAACATCCATTTCATTCAGTCCACAAGTAAAGCCCGAGCTTATCTTCACTCTAAAACAAGTACACGTCTCTAATGATTAGCTTTTAACCACGTTCTTTGGATTCATAATTTCTCTATCCTGAACACTGCTGAATGGAATAAGCCATCCTGACTTATTTTTCTCTTTCTGGGTTACAGGTAAACCATTTCAATTCTAACACATTCTTTCAGACAGATTACAATACAACTGAGTTTAATTATGTTAGCTTCAGTCATTTTTACTATCTATGATCAAATAAACGCTCCAACCTCACCTATTTCATTGTAAGCAATCATAATGTAATTCTGGGGACTAATGGGTTTTCAACCATTAATTCAACAAATATTTCCCAAATATTTACTTAATTAATTTATATAGTTTTTTTGAGACAGAGTCTCACTCTGTCACCCAGGCTGGAGTGCAGTGGCTTAAGGTCTGCTCACTGGAACCTCTGCCTCCTGGGCTCAAGCAATTCTCTTGCCTCATCTCTCCCGAGCAGCTGGGATTACAGGCGCCCACCATCTCGCCCAGCTAATTTTTGTATTTTTAGTAGTCACAGGGTTTCACCATGCTGGCCAGGCTGGCCTCGAATTTCTGACCTCAGGTGATCTGCCCACCTCGGCCTCCCAAAGTGCTGGGATTACAGGTGTGAGCTACCGTGCCTGGCCACCACATATTTATTAAGTGCCTATGATAAGCCAGGCACTCTGCTAGGTCCTGGGAACACCAGGGCTAACAGGACAGATTTCTGCACCTCTGTTAAAGAAATCTGCATACATTATAGTAGCCAAGTGAGATTAAGAAAATTTCAAGTCAGCTGGGCAAGGTGGCTCATGCCTGTAATCCTAGCACTTTGGGAGGCCAAGGTGGGCGGGATCACGAGGTTAGGAGATCAGGACCATCCTGGCTAACATTATGAAACCCCATCTCTACAAAAATACAAATAAAAAAAAAAAATTAGCCGGGCATCCCCATAGTCCCACTCATTCAGGAGGCTGAGGCTGGAAAATCGCTTAAAGCCGGGAGGTAGAGGCTGTGGTGAGGCGAGATCACACCACTGCACTCCAGCCTGGGCAACAGAGCAAGGCTCCATCTCAAAAAAAATAAAAAAAGAAAATTACAAGTATACGACAGAAAAATTAAACTGTGGCAAGTGTTACAAAGGGATAAGAGAAAATGTTGGAGTATCCCAGAGCTGATGACAATAACCTGGACCAGGCTAGTGACAGTGGCAAGAGAAGTTGTATTTGCAATCTATTTTGGACATTAACAAGACAACAGTGAATTGAATGAAGAAGGCGAGGGAAAGGAAGGAATCAAGGCTAACTCCTGGGTTTTGATTTAAGCAACTGGGTAAAGAGCAGTACTATTTCCACAGAAAATCTAGGCATAATACACATAGAAAATATCAGTTTCTATGCAGATTATAATCTCTATCTGAATCATGTTTTCTATAAGTCAAATATTACCCATGAGGATGTGTGACCTTGCTTACTAAATAAAAAGAGCACCAAGAATCATGAGATCTAGGTTCTAGTTCAAATCCTGTCACAATTTAAGTCACATTCTCTACAAGCCTGCTATTTTATGGGTCAAGTGAAGAGACTGAGGAATAGTTCAAAACCAATGAAAATCTATAATTAACCATACAATTAAAGGACTATCGTCATTAGCTTACTGTCTGACAGCTGGAGATCTGAGATGGTATTAAGCATGGCCCAGAGAGAAGACTCCTGTAGTCTGGTTCTAGATCTCTATTTGTGTGTGTGTGTGGATTCCATAACTTGGCTTCTATATTTGTAAAACAAAATTACAGTGATTTCTCCCACAGGCATAAGAAGAAAATCCATAAATGTCTATATGCATTGCAGACTGCTGGAGGAAAGAAGTTATAAGAACATAAATAATTATTTGTGTTAGGAATAAGTAGGGTCAATCTCTCAGAAAACCAGGAAAAGTTCAGCTATCACTGCTTTGTGACTTTTGCCAGGGAATCTTGGCTTTTCCTAGAAAATAAATTACTACCTTGGAGGATGCCTGAAATCTCCGAAGGAAGCCTTCTTGTACATAGCCAGTTCAGGAAGGTTATACCTGGTACCATGCTGTAAGGGAAAATAAATCTTTTCATAAAAGTGGTCAAGAGTATTTGCTAAACATAGCAGCATTTCCCAAAGAGGGAGTGAAGGTACAATAAGGTCTCATTAAAAAATTTTTTTTCTGGCCGGGCGCGGTGGCTCAAGCCTGTAATCCCAGCACTTTGGGAGGCCGAGGCGGGTGGATCGCGAGGTCAGGAGATCGAGACCACCCTGGTCAACATGGTGAAACCCCGTCTCCACTAAAGATACAAAAAATTAGCTGGGTATGGTGGCACGTGCCTGTAATCCCAGCTACTCGGGAGGCTGAGGCAGGAGAATTGCCTGAACCCAGGAGGAGAAGGTTGCGGTGAGCCGAGATTGCGCCATTGCACTCCAGCCTGGGAAACAAGAGCGAAACTCTGTCTCAAAAAAAAAAAAAAAAATTTTTTTCTTTAAGATTTTCTTAGTCTGTCTTTGTTTGTGTGAACTAACTTCCTTGGTATGATGTGAGTAACGTATTTCTTAATTAAAAAAAAACTTTTTTTATAGAGATGGGTCTGTGTTACCGAGGCCGGTCTCTAACTCCTGAGCTCAAGCAATCCTCCCACCTCAGCCTCCCAAAGTGCTGGGATTACAGAGGTGAGCCACCGTGTCTGGCCCACAGATGATTTCATAAGCTCTTCTTCTTCACCTATACCACTTGTCTTCTCCTTTTGTTTTTTCCATTTCATTTATTTTTCCTTTCTCTGTCATTTTCGTAGTTGAACAGGCTTTTCCAAAAGCCTGTTTTCCACACTGTTTCCCTCTGTTCTCTTCAAGGCCAATGATTGGGGACTGTCATGTACCAAATGTTTATCTCTCAAAGATCCAAAAATGGTGTACATCAGTGGTTCTCAAACGGGTGGTTCTGTCCCTCCCAGGGATTTTTGGTAGTGTCTGAACACATTTTTGCTTGTCACAACTAGGGGAAGGATGCAACTGGCTGGCATCTATTGTATAGAGGCTGGGATGCCGCTAAACATCTTACAATGCACAGAACAACATCCCACAACAAAGAATTATCTAGCCTGACAAAGAATTGTCTGCCAATGCCAATAATGCTACCATTGAGTAACTCTGATATGCACAAACATCAGTAGCTGAAAACGACTAAGGTTGGTGGCACCAGTCCAGGCTCCTTAGGGATTCAGATTCTCAAGGTGGTAAACTAGCAGCCACTGGCATCAGATTGTCTGGACTTGGATTCCAGGTTCCCTGTTTTGCTGGCTATATATGGCTTCTGACTAATTATTCAGTGCCACAAAAGCAGTTTCCTCACCTGGAAAAAAGGGCTAATAAAGCATCCATCTCATTAAGACATAAACTCCTTGAAAGCAAGGAACTGCCATGCTTAGATTAGAGACTGGTATCCAGTAGAGAGTACTAGGTGTCTGTGGGTTATTATACACAGTTGGTGTTAAGGCCTCAGCCTCCCTGAGTAGCTGGGATTACAGACGTGAGCCACCCAGCCTGTCCAATTATTCTTATATAATAAGAAAGTAGGGCATGGTGGCTCAGGCCTGTAATCCCAGCAGTTTGGGAGGTCAAGTTGGGCGGATCACCTGAGGTCAGGAGTTCAAGACCTGAAGAACTGAACATGCGCCGCCCTGTTGAACACTAACAATTTCACAGAACTCCAACATGGCAAAACCCCGTCTCTACCAAAAATACAAAAATTAGCCGGTGTGGTGGTGGGCACGTATAACTCTAGCTATTCTGGAGGCTGAGGCGGGAAAATCGCTTGAACTCGGGAGGCAGAGGTTGCAGTAAACCGATATTGTGTCACTGCATTCCAGCCTGGGCGACAGAGTGAGACTCCGTCTCAAAAGGAAAAACAAAACAAACAAAAATAAAGTAGAACGAAGCGAGGCTAAAGCTGCAATTGGTTAAAAAAAAAAAAAAAAAAAAAGGATAGAGATGGCATATCTGGTCATTTTTTTCTGTGGCTGGCACAATGTTTCTTTTTGTTTATATTCAGACACCGTTGTGGAGAGATTTGTTTTTACCCACCGTGGTCAGAATGGCCTTGTCTGTGAAAGTGTTAAGTGTTCAGCAACATCCTAGTTAATAGCGCCAGCTGGCTTCCCGCTATCATGGGCTGCATTTATTTTCACTGTGTCTCACCCTCCTTATACCCTCCCCCCACATACCTAACGGATGCCCAAATCCTGTAAAGTATTTCCAAGACCCCCTTCCCAAGACGTCCTGCTGTTTCCCCTCAGTGTACCACCCTCCTTGCAAAACCACAGACCCAACTTTGTCCAACTGCAGTCCAGGAGTGTTCTCGACGGTCTTTGGCTCGAGGGCACTGCAGCAGTAAGAGCTCCCGACAGGGTCACTGCTTTGTTAGGTCTCAAGGGAAACTACATGCTGTACCCAGAGCGTTCAGACCTCTAAACAAGTATTTTGACGCTTCCCGACAGCTGCCTCTGGCTTAATTCTCCTCAGGAGACGCCTTCTCTCCCAAGAGAAGACAGGGAAGATACTTTGGTTTCTGACCTCCCAAGCAACAAACCAGCCGTCAAATTCCTTATGAAGCAAAAACTGACTTGCGCGCCTCGAGCTGCAACTCAGAATTTCTCAAACACCAGGACGCCCCGGGGGCACGCGGGAAACTAACGCTCCAGCGGGTTTACATGACTCGGTGTCTAACCCACTACCTTAACCCAGGAGGAATGGCCCCCAATTCACTCTACAAGCAGCGCAGAACATTCCTAAAGGATAAGGTAATGGTCACCACAAACAACCGAACCTTCTTCCGGCTGCCGCCCGCTCGCACATCGCGACCGGTCGCTGGTCAGCTGCCGCGCAAGCGACAGCGTCTTATAGACGGACTACAAGTCCCGGCATGCCTGGCGACGCGATGCCGCCTGATAACTCGCGCCACACGAAGCACGCTGGGGTGGTTCTTCTGCGCGCCTGCGCCTGGCGAGCTCTGCGCAGGCGCATTTCCATCGCTTGGAGGAGAGGGCGGGGTGTTGTTCCCTTTCGCTGATGCAAGAGCCTGGTGCGGTGGTGGGAGAGGTATCGGTAGGAGCAGCGCTGCCGCCGGAACCTGGGGCTGACCCGTCTGACTTCCCGTCCGAGCCGAGCCCACTCGAGCCGCAGCCATGTCTGGGGACGAGGTGAGGGCCTGAGCCCGGCGCTAGGGCTAAGGACTGAGGCGGGAAGCAGAACCCACTCCAGTGTGGGAGACCGGCCTGCGGCCTAGCAGCCGGCCGCCGCCATGGGGGCAGCCGGGCCTAGACGGTCCGGAGCTGCAGAGCCAGCGAGGACTCCGGAGCCGCAGGCTTGGTCGCAGCCCGCTTCCTCAGGGCGATGGCGCCGAGGCGGACCTCCTGTCGTGGTTGGCGTTTCCGGAATGGAGAGCACACCACGTTGAGTCGCCCTCCCTGAAGGGGCTCGAGTGCCCAGTTCGTGCCCCGAATGAGTGGGGCTGGTGATCCCTGCATTCCTTTCAGCTGGGCACTGCCGTCCCAGTTCGCCTGGCTGGTGCCGCGAGGAACCTCTCTTGGCTTGATAGAACGCCCTCGTTAAAACTTTCCAGGCTGTCTTGTCGGGGCTGGTATCCCTCCCTTGTTTGCCTTCCTAGCATTGTTTTTTAAAAAGACGACGGGAAGATGGGTTTAGAACGAGAGAAAAATACCCTGCCGCCCCAGGAAGTGACTCGCCTTCCCGGAAAGTTTCCGAGCGAGCCCCTGAGCTTCCCTTAATAGAGGGCTCCCAGCGACGTAAGCGGGAAGTCCGGGCTGTGAAGCTGGCTGGATTTTTCTACCGTCGTGCTTGGGTCTCACCGAATTTCCTCAAATCCTTTTCTCCCGGATTTATTCTAGTTGGTGTAACATCTAGAGACTTAAAATGAAGTTGATGTTAAGTACTCGCAGGTGTGCTTAACATTGGGGGAGGCCCTTACCGGTACTGAGGATTTCGTAGGCAGTAGGAAGCCTTGATCACAAGGGCAAAGGAATGGTCGAGAAAGGCCAGTAAATGTGCCCACAGGAAGTGGAATATTCTCCAGTTTGGTTACAGTTAAGGGGTGAACACTTGACACACTATCATGGAGGGCTGTGAAGACGAAGTTTAGGAATTCAGAATGTTTCTGGAGGGGATTCCAGTCTCTTGGTTCTCACAACAGTCCTGTAAAATAGGTCTATTGTATGCCCATTTTAGAGATGAAAAACCTGAAGCTCTGAGTTGTATAATGCCCATTATCAAATACTAAGTGGCTGAGCCAGTGGTAGGATTCCAGATCTGTGCAATATTGCTTCCATGTAGATGACTAGGAGGATCTCAGTAGCTTAGAGAACAAAGTTTGTAAATGGTCCTTAGCAGTTATGATAGGCATTGCTCTAGGCTGCTGTATTTCAGAAGTTCTGAGAGTGCAGTATTTCACACCTATTTTGTTTCTACTCATTTTTCAAACTTCTCATAACCTTGGTAAATACTGTACGTAATGCAAGAGTCCATGGGGTGTTATTCTGTGTATGGTCAACTACTAGTTGACACACAAGGTAGAAATTGGGCCATCAACATAGTGACTTGGAGGGCTAGAGGGATCATTTCTATCAGTAGGATCAGGTTTTGAAAGAAGTGGAGTATGAATGTATTACTGAGGATGAGTTTCGTGAAGCAGAGATGGCAGAAGCAGCATTTCAGCATAGGGCTATGAAAGTCAATGAAGTATTAAAACAGTTTGGCACTCAAGTTGACAGTCCGACTTTGTTTTAACAGGAAACCAGGGCCGAGGGAGATAACTGGTCCAAGATCATGCAGAAAGTAGGACTAGAACCTTGGTGTTTGGCTTCCATTCTGCCAGGTAGAAGTTAGGAGTAGAGGGAGAATAGAATAGAATTTGAAGAATAGGGTGTAGGGTCTGGTTCTTCTAGTGCTGTTGAATAGGTAAGTGTTCTTAGGCCATTTCTTTTTTTTTTTTTTTTTAAGATACGGGGTTTCACCATGTTGGCCAGTCTGGTCTCGAACTGATCTCAGGTGATCCACCCTGCTTGGCCTCCCAAAGTGCTGGGATTACAGGCATGAGCCACCGCACCCGGCCCTTAGGCCATTTCTTTAACTTCTGGCTACTGTACTGACATTGACATTTGAGGATCAGATGAAAATCTGTACTTGAAAATGATTTATTAACTGCCAGGGACTTCCCAGAATGCAAGTAATCTTGCCTGGTGGGTCAGTCTAGAGGATTAAAGAGGCTACTATTACAAATAATTTTCTGTTTTCCTTCATATTTCTTTTTTTTTCTTATAAACTGCACACATTTCTTTTAAACCTGGTAATTAAGCCAAAAACTCCCAAAACAGAACCCTTTTCAACCTAATGGAACTGTGATTTTATTTTATTTTTTTTAGAGACAGGATCTCACTCTTGTTGCCCCAGGCTGGAATGCGGTGGCACAATCATAGCTCACTGCAGCCTCTGTCACCTGGGCTCAAGGGATCTCCTGCCTCAGCCTTGCAAGGAGCTGGGACTACAGGCGCATTTCTTGCAGCTGCTAATTTTTAAGTTTTTTTGTAGAAATGAGGTCTTTGTTACCCAAGCTAGTCTTGAACTCCTGGCCTCAAGCAGTCTTCCTGCCTCAGCCTCTCAGCATGGAACCATGATCTTTAAAAAGCAGAATCCTAGAAATATGGCTGCTACCTGGTAAGGGAAAAGAAAAATCCCCTGTCTATAGGCATTCACTATTTTTCAGACCGTTTTTTAAAAGCAGCATTAATATTTAATGCTTGCTTGCTTACTACTAGGCCCCATTCATAAGGTGTCAGAACATTGATTTTTCATAAAATGTGGTAAGGTGTTTTGGCAAAAAGAAGCTTTAAATTTAAAAAAAAGTTTTTGGTTCAAAATGGGATGTGTGTTGTATAAAGTTTATGAAACACAAAAAAATACAAATAAAAAGCTCAGAATCTAAGTCTCAGCTACTCAGAAGGAGACTTAGGCCAGGAGTTTGAGGCTGCAGTGTGCTGTAATTATAATTGAGCGTAGCCACTACATTCCAGCCTGGGTAACATAGTGAGACCCCTGTCCCTAAAAAAAAGATCTCACAATCCTATCACACAGAGTTGGCAGCACTTAGCATTTGTTCTGGTCATCCTTGAAAGGAACTTTTAGATCAGTGCTTTGCTTCTTTGTGGGTTCTTTGTGACTCACACCTACTTCCGGGTATGGTGATTTCTTGGGTAAGGTATGATCTATGAGAAGAGACTTCTAATTTGATGAAACATTTCAGGGTAATTTTAGCTGGTATGCCTTTTCTTTGCTTTCTCCAACCAAACGTGAGAAATTGAAAATAGAAATGCTTTTGAAGCTTTGTTTTGAACCTGAAATATAACTCAAGTGATTCTGTAGTTTTCCATAAGTGCACTGTCAACAGCTATTTACTTTTCAAATCTAAACTAGTCTCATAAAAGAAAACCCATTTGGAGTGTAGTCAGCTTATAATTTGGAAGTTAGAGATGAAAGTCTTAAAAAGCCATGATTTTAGTCACGACTGATATGGCCTTGTTCTTTGGGGAGTTCTACTTTGGGTACTGCTTTGGGATCCCCGCTCCTTATTTGTAAACTCTACTTTGCAGGATGGTATGAATAAAATGAGGCAATGAGTATGTATGTTACATATCCAGACTAATTGAGAGAGGTGTTATTTCAATGTATGATTCCTACATGTTTATTCTCCTTTACAAGGCTACAACCAAACTGTTTACCTGTAGACCAAAATAAGATTTTTCAGGGGATAAGAAGGCACTTATGAAGCTGTCCTCTGGTGATATCAGGATCCTTTCCATCTTTGATCTGTCTCGATGAATAATGGTTAAAAGGCAATTAATACTTTAGGGAACTTGATGCTTGAAAAAATGCAATAAATGGCTTGTAATCCCTTCCAGAACCAAATTTATAGTGTCTAGAGTTTTGTCTGTCCTTTTGCCAAGTCTCCCTGTGAAGAATTAGGATGAAATGTAGCTAACTTCCCTGAAATACTGCTGTACTCCTTGTAGGGTGACCCAGAGCTCAGTAGTGGGTCAGCAGTGGGGGACTCTTCCTCTTTGCTCTTCTGTCTTGGTAGGGACACTTCTTTAAGTTAGCCAGATAATATTCTTCAGACTGACTGCATTTCAGATTTAATGATTTATAGAATTGGATCCTTGTTAAGGGGGAAAACACTAACTTTGAACATGCTTTGCAAATACCATACTTCTCTACTGGGCAAGGACAGTAAGTATATTACTTTATTACAGATTATAGGTTGGTTTCGGTCTAGTTTTCTTTATGATCTTGGAACATAAATAAGTTTATGTTAGAATCCATTTGGGGAAGTTTTCAGAGTTTTATATGTTTGGAAAATTAGAGCACCTGAATTGATGAAATTTCAGTGATAGGAATCAAGAGAAAACCATGCTTTGTGAATGGTAAAGTATTATATAAATTACAGTTGCTAATATTTATTTGAGTACTTATGTGCCAGGCACTATGGCAAGGGTTTTACATTTACATACTTGTTTAAGCCTCCCAGTAATCTTGTATGGTTTGTTGTTCCTCTGCTTGTCTCCATTTTACATATGAGGTGTGGAATAACAAGTACAAGCCATAGTCAGAACTTGAATCCAGTCAGATGGGCTCCAGACTTGTGCTTTTATTTATTTATTATTTTTTTTTTTGTTTTGTTTTGTTTTTCGATATTTTTATTTATTTATTTCTGTTTGCTGGTTTATTTTTTAAAGATGGGGTTTCACCATGTTGGTCATTGTGGTCTTGAACTCCCGACCTCAGGTGATCCGCCCGTCTTGGCCTCCAAAGTGCTTAGATTACAGACGTGAGCCACCACACCCGCCCGGCTTTTAAACACTTTACTACTACACTGTTGACAGCAGATCATTGGGCAAAATACTGAATT